AAGACAAGATAGTATAGCGATTCATATTGCCATACAAAACATGCAGTGATACATGTAAGGCACTCATTTGATGACAGAAACATAGCTGCAGCAATTAAGATTTTATTCCTAATCCATAACTGTAAAACATCTGAAAGTGGTCACTGCAACTGCTAAATTTGAGACAATGACACTTTCCCTGTTTTATCAAAACGAATTGAGGAGACTCGGTGGCCGAGTGGTGTAAGTAGTTACTACTGTAATCACTAGCCAGTCAATACTGAGGTTGTGAGTTCGAACCCCGCTCGTGCGGGCGCACTCAACTCCAATCTTAATTGACTAGGATTGCCAGTTTTCCTATCGAAGGTCGGTGGTTTTCTCCGGGCACTCCGGCTTCCTCCACCAATAAAAACTGGCCGCCAAGAAATAGCCCAAAAGCGGTGCTTAAAAGTGGCGTTAAAACACCAAAAATCAAAATCAAATCAAAACGAATTGCTCTTTAAAGAATAATCTAATACTAACAATTGAAACAACATTGTCCCTGTGTTACTCATATAGATGGTATATACACTACGTACATATGAACGAGTTTCTAATGCATGTAACTAATTGACAGAGTTTACTATGGACCGCCGTAGCTGTCTTATGTGTTAAATTGAATGCTAGGATGATGCTTTGTCATTATATGCTGATACTTTGTCATTATATGCTGATAACTTGTCATTATCTGCTGATGTTTTATCATTATATGCTGATACAAGCATACAATTTAACACATAAGACAGCTATGGCGTTCCATAGTTTACTGTATCTACGATAATGATCCTTCAGTGGTATTTTTATACTACTTGTAACAATACAATACAATTAAACAACATACATTCTTAAAGGTTTTAATTGCTAAGATCGTTACTTTATCTTACAGATTAATGAATGATCGAGCGAAAAGACACATATCTGTTTTCAAGAAGTGCCCCAGTAAAGTTTACTTGAGAAGTGATACGGTTTTCTTGAAACATTTCAGAGAAAAACAAAAGTCAAGGCAGCAAGAAATAACAGAAGGTATGGTCGAAGTGATTTGTAAAACGTTGCAGAATTCAGCACGTCTTTGATCTAACTTAAAATAAATGACGGTCATCTCGTGGTTATTTAATTTGGCCTCAGAGCGACATTATGCAATACAGTATGATCATTAAGTAAAAAACTGAAGCGTATATATGACAGTTAAAATAAATCTTTCGCAGTTTAATATCATTCTCCGTAAAGATAAAAAAGGACACTTTTTTTTTCGGCAGCTCAATACTAAGATTAATCCAGTTTCACGCCTTAGCTACAGGTCCATTAGACCAGGCATGTAAAATAACTATGGGCCTCAAAGAATTTATACAACAGTAATAGAAGATGAAGTCAATCGCTTTTTATCTGTATCAAAAATAAGACTACCAGTCTACAATTTGATAAAAATAAAGTATTTTAACAGATTCAACTTCCAATGATTAAAATGAAAATAATAAACTTGCTAAAGTTCTTATCAGTTCTATGCCTCATATGCAGTCTACAGTTTGTTTTATTAAAAAGTCAATACACCTGCGATTAGTGGAAGAGCACAACAACTAGATTTTTGGTGTAATTAATGATCTTAGTAATTATGATTTATGCTGAAGTTTGAATATAATTCAGTCTATTGGATTGTATTCTTGTTCGTTGACTGCGTTTTGCCATCAAAGTTTCAGCAAATGTTCAGGGTATATGTGCCTTGAAATAAGGACATTGATTGAAAGAAAGGATACACAAAAACATCATATTCCTTATATTTACCAAGTTTAAAACTAGATGTAACTGTTAACACCTAGCTTGTTTTTCGGTAATTGCAGTAAACAAGATATTGTGTCTCGCTTTGCTCTTACTAAGGGCGGAGAAATACTCAATCTAATTAAAATATAGAACTCTGATTTAGTTAAACAGATTGAGAAATACTGTGTGGATCGATATTGATTTCTATCCAAAAGCAATATTCACGCCTCGAAAAAGGAATCTTCGCGCTATGAAAGAATTTCAGTTGATACGGCCATAATACATATGCATGTGTTTTATTTCAGGACAAAGAAAAATTTTAGAAAAGAAGAAATATATTATCAGAAAAACTGCTTTTCTTCACCAAAATCTTCAACAGAAATCTCTCGTACCGTTTCGTTGTTTATTTTCACAGATTGGAAATGAAAAGTTTGAGTTGCACATGCTACCAGATTATGTGGAAAGCGTCTTGGCAATGCTCAAGGTGATGACAGGAATTTCATGTTTTAGTAAAGTAATATATTTTTTTTTATGTTATAAAATTTGATTATCAAATATACATGTACGTTGTATCAAAGAAATTTAGAAAAATGAAATATACCAAGGGCGAATTTACATGTAGGTGGGGTTCGCTGCCCTAAAAATCCAAAGCATAGGCTGAAAGTAAAAGAAGTGAGATGGAGAGGGATAGAGCAAACAACATTTCCGGGATATTCTTCCCATTGGAGCATTGCAAGGCAACTACTAGTATCATAGATTTGCTGGGTCCTAGGCGGTCATAGACCCTTGCATATTTTTTACATTCCTACCAACGCAAAATCTAAGATCTGCAATTGTATACAAAAAAGGGAATAATATTTGAATATTGGTTGTGGACTTGTCCGTAGTTTGTCTGATCAAAATGTTTTAAGACAAATCCCAGGTTCACTTTAGAAACTAATACTGTCATGAGTAATTCAAATGAAAAAAAAAACAGAATTAGTACCAACGAAAAAGATATGTTTACGTGTAACAACAGTTATAAGCCGAAGGAATACAGTATTCATCCGAAAACAACTTAGATAATTATACATATTCAATACAAGTCATGTATTTAGATCTTTTGGGTACTTATTTCATACATGTATATATCTATATTTCTTCCTATCATGTCTGATTGCTTGCGATTCAGGATGACCAATACGTACATCAGCTTGATATGTCAAATACCAAGATTGATATAGCAGGAAGTCGCCTTCTGTCAGAGTTACTTAAGACAAACAAGAATATAACAACCTTGGTAAGAATATATATGTGCACTACATGAGCCAAATTGTAATATAGACTTGTTAGCAGCCGATGGATCCCCACATTAGCCAGTAATTAGGTCCTAATATTATATATTCGTTGTATTTAAAAAGGATTAATTTAATTACGCAGATATGCCAACATTTCTTGTTTGACGCAAGATTACTTTCACGTGCCATTTGATTTTTTCTGAATTGAAATTTTCAAGGTTTTGCGTCCTGTACTGGTCTCGACACTGCTGTAGGAACTCTATCTTGAAATACAGCCACCTATATTAGAGTCTAAGACGGGAAGGCTTCATACAAGCAGTTAATAATATGTACTTTGAGTATCCTTTCAATAAAACATTGAATGTAATTGGATCTTAGTATTTTGTCTTATGTTATCCATGTTACTGTTACAATAGAGTAAATTGCCTTTTCCTTTACTCATTCTAATTTAAAATGTGCTTTTATGTGCTTAAGTCCCTTTTTTTGGTCCTCCGAACGATATTAAACACTCAGGTGTTTGATATCTAAGTAAAACTACGCTATTCAAGCCACATAAACGTGCCTGTCAAGATTCAGAAACCTCTGCAGTTGTTGTTTTGTGTCATATCTAGAAAAATAATTTGTTTAGAACTTAGTTTTGATGGAAAATCTCTGATTAAATTTAGTCAGATTTTGTTCAGGCTCCATGCACAATTAAAAAGTTTGTGAACGTATGGATGGGCAACACTGTATTTACTTATTGTATATTCTCTAAAGGTCCTCAACAAGTCTGGTATGTGCGGAAAACGGTTGAAAACTTTAGTTAAACATGGCCAGTTTGAACAGTTAGAGAACGTTGTATTATCAGGTATGTTCACTCTTAGTTTGAGATTGCTCTGAAATCTGACGGCCTTATTAATGACTTGTTGTGGTCTCCATGTCCAATAGTCCAGCATGTCCTTAAAGGGTCGTTAGACGTCAGAGCAGTCTCGAACTAGTTCACTTGTTTCCTGTACGTACAAAAAGTTATGGCAAGTTTTATAGTTACTTTTATGAGGTTGATACAGTCTTTAGACATCGTGATTAAGGTTTACACTTTTGATTAAAAACGTCTAGTTTGGACCTTTGGAGACCGTTGTCATACCATGTCTACTGTCTAGTAAATGTTTACCTTTTTGTTTGTTGATGTTAAACGAAACATTCAGCGACTTTGGTTATTACATGCATAAAATGGAGCGGTTTTGTTGATGGGGAAAGCGAGAGTACCCGAAGAGAATGTTTTGTCCTTGTACTACTATTAAAAATACGCTTTTTTGAAGAAAAAAATATTTCAAAAATAGAAAATTTACTTACTTAAGTTACATTTCTTATTAAGGACATTCAGTGACCTGGGAGTTGCCTTTATAAATTCAAGTGTCTCTTTTAAATTGAAAATATATAGATTAATAAAGTGCACTGGATAATTGCAAAACAGAGGGAAATAAGAACGAAAAGCAAAAGCAGAAAAAATAAGTTTAATATATAAAGAATAAGATGTCATTAACCGCTGTATCTTAAATTACTAGTATGCATAAAGAAAAGTTTACTTTTGTTCTAGGAAACAAAATTGGTGAACATGACTGTGGCACAATATCAACATTTCTCAGGGTAAGAATGATTTATTATAGCACCTCTCGTTTAAATGTAGCCATAGGACTAGAAATATTTGTTTTCTGGATTTCATCGGTTGAAAAATCAAGAAAATTGTTTGCTTCACATCCCATTTTTCAATCTAATTTGATGATATTTAATTGTGGAAATCTTTTTAAATCGAACGTATCTTCTTCGCGCATAGCTCTTATTTTATGTGTGGGTTTTGCTTTTCTTTTAGTCATTAATGAAGTGATTAGCTGTTGAACTTTATGTTTTGGATTTTCAGATAATTTTCCCTTGAGCAAGAGACATTATCTGTTGTACCGTAATTGTTTTGAAATGGGGTGGGGTGGTGGTGGGGTTGTTCCTGCTGAAGGTAAATACATGCAGAAAAAAACTGTTTCGGTCGCCAAAAAAAAAATCTTTTCATTTTAATGTTGCTGTTATAAAGTGGCCTTATATAATTTACTTAAATACCGTATGAGTCCTTTTCATTGTTTCGGGCAATACAGTGACCTGTAATTGTTAACATCCTTGTCATTTGGTCTTTATTTGATTTGTTAGATTGATGGATTGGTGATTGCTTTACGCCACATCAGCACAAAAAGGCTATATCGCGACGAGCAACTCATTGGATAACAAGCAACAACATTTTTTTATCCTTTTTTTCGTCAGAAAGTTATATTTTGTTGAATAACCTTTCATGCCATTGCTATAGGTTTCGTGTTATTAGTGTTACTAATTTGCAATTTCTTTTCTATTCATTAGAAGTCCAAGAATTTGAAACGGTTGTCACTCAGGGCAAATAATCTGGAAGAAAACGGATGCCGGGAATTAGCAGTAGAACTGGGTGTGTATTCAAACAAAATAGAAAATGAAAAAAACGCATGCATTTGTTATATTTAATTTTTCTATATATTCAATAATACTATGTGAGATCAAACATTGGAGAATCTAGAAATTGAATCATTATCATAAAATATGTAGAACCATGCAACAGAATACATTTTTCGAAAGTGAAACGTCAAATCAACGTAAAACAACAAGCGGTCCAGAAACAGTATAGGTACAGCTAGCCTAACTTGGTAAAGACACAACATGGAGAGGAGTTAAACCATTTTTACTGTGATTAAACAAATATTAGTCTGGAACTCAGCCTCTTTTCCACACAGAATATCCCTTAACCCCTCCTCCTAAATATTTACCAAATGCCATTAATACATTTTGAGTGAAGATGTTGATACTAACGAGTTAATCAAGGTTAACATATATTTGTTAGTAACTGTTGTCTTACTCCATGTAATAATTAAAGTCAATTATATATATATATATATATATTTGGCAATCACCAATGGCAGCCAGCAGGGTTTAAGAACATCCGTTGTTCGACATGTTAGTCAAATGCGTTTTGTTAAAATATACTTTTTCACTTTTTTAGTCTTTTGTGAAATGTTGTTTGTGCTGTATTTAGACCCCTCTACCAAGAAATTTGTTTTGAATGCACACGTATAAAAATTGCGGTTTTTATCCAACGCAGTCATAGGTTTGAACGTTGTTTTCAATTTAGACTTATATATATTATATATTTTCTAGGCCAACATAAAACACTGAAGAAGCTTGATCTGAGTTGGAACCACATAAGAAGACACGGAGCAATTGATATATCTAGAGCAATCAAGGTAAATACATTTACAAAATGGTTATCATAAAAAAAGAAGATGTGGTATGGTTGCCAATGAGACAACTCTCCGCAAGAGACCAAAATGACATAGAAATTAACAACTATAGGTCACCGTATACGGCCTTCAACAACGAGCAGAACTCATATCGCAAAGTCAGCTACACAAGGCCCCAAAATGACATATGTAAAACAATCCAAACCAGAAAACCAATGGCCTGATTGATGTACAAAATAATGAACGAAAACAAATATGATATACAAAAACTGTCAACAACAATCGACAACCACTGAATTACAGGCTCCTAAATTGGGACAGTCACATACAGAACGTGGCGGGGTTAAACTAGTTAGAAGGCGTCAACCCTCTCCTAACCTGGGACAGTGGTGTAACAGTACAAGATAAGATCAAACTAATAAAATCAGTTGAAAAGGGCTTAACTCATCAGATAGATACAAAGAAGAAAAACATCTAACAAAAACACAGACCGGACGTGGCAGTTAGAAAGTTTTGAGACTGAAAATCAAGTCAGTATGAAGCAAGATTACATCGTTCCATATCGAAATTATCTATAACACAGGCTCAGTGGTTTGTTGTTTTTTAACATATTTGTTTTTTGTATATTTTGTTTTATTAAAATTCAGGCCATTCATTTTCTCGTTTGAATTGTTTTACATTTGTCATGTTGAAGCCTTTTAAAGCTTGCTATGCGGTTTTGGTTTACTCAACGATGACTTGCTTCTAAGTCATTTGTTTTTGGATTGAAAGTTGTCCCATTGGCCATCATACAACATCTTAATTTTTTTTTTATATTTGATAATAAATCAACTCGTTTAAAACAGAAACTATCATATATTCGTCAAAAGTAGGAAACACAAACACTTTTGTATAACAACTGGGGATCAATGCATAGAGGCTTTTGGATCGGAACTGTGTGCCAGTCAACTAATTGGTACTCCTAATATTTTACTAGTTCTTTGGAAAGGGACGCAAATAATACAGAGAGGACGTATTATATATATATCCCATGCTAAGGATCATGTTTCATATCATTTCCTTTTCTTTGTAGTTTTTACTATATACATGTAGGGACAATATGTGTTTTCAATCTTTGAAACTGTTTAATTAACGAGTTTCCTCTCCTGTATTTGTTTTTTTTCCACTTTAGGAGGCAGAGGTAAGCTTTTTCGTGGTCTACAACGTAACAATCGAAAAACGATACAAGCAAAATTTAGAAATGCTTCAAATTTCATGTATTCTTTAGAGCTTGCTGTTTGATGTGAGCCAATGCTCCGTGTTGAAGGCCGTACTTTGATCTATAATTGTTTACTTTTTACACATTGTGACTTGGATGGAGAGTTGTTTTATTGGCACTCATACCACATCTTCTTATTTATATTCAGTACCGTTTTTTCAGAGTAATACCTCACTTACATTTGTAAATGTGTCTTGGAATGGTTTTGCCTTTGAAGGATGTTCTGCACTGTCAGAGGCTTTGGAGAACAATAAAAATCTCACAGAACTTGATTTAAGTTGGAATAGAGTTCACCCACCTGCATTTCTGGAGTTAATGAAGGGATTATGCAGAAATTCAACACTTCAAAAGCTCAACGTATGTAAGCCTAACAATGATAGAAAGGAGATATAACGGGGTCAATAAAAATCGTAAAAAAAACGTGACTAAAAGAAAAAGGTCGAACCAAGAACAACACTTCAAATCGAAAAATACGAACTTATCACATCAGCTGATTGGATTGCATATATGTCGCTCACGGTACATGTACATTGTAAAATTGTATATACACTTAAAAATTGCAAAAGCACTGTTGTACACATTAAAGTACATTATCAAAACAAATGAAATTCAACATTTAAAATATATTCTAGTGATTTGCATGAATAACCTTAGAAACAATCTTTAATCGTAATGTTGAATATCTTTTGTAGTTGAGCCACAATCCGATTACGCCACCATTCACATCCATTTTCCTTCAAGCTTTATTTGATACTAACTTTACTGGATTAACAGAAATAATAATGGAGGTATAGTAAATAAGTAAAATGAAAGGTTTTTGTCCTTATATTTTGCATGCAGTACCGACTGTAACCAGAGCATACTTCCCATTAGAAAATTACATTGTTATATCCGAGACATGACCCCAAAAAAACCCCACTATATTCGCAGTCAGCGCTCATAACCAGCGAGCTAAATAAGTACTTCCGTAGCTCAACTGATTATCATTTAAGGGATGCAATCCCGTCAGACGTACGAAGCCGATTGATTTTCATATCAATTCCAATCAATATATAAATTTTTTGATTAAAAAATAAGGACCATCGTAAAATCTTGTAAGTACAAGATTTTGGTATGCGACACAGAACACAAATAACACATAGAGGTCAACAAACTGGTTCTATATCTTCACGAGTCTAGTCTAGATTTGGCAAGCTCAAAGATCTTAGGGAGCTACCATTTGATTTTTATGGGAGGGCTAGGATGAAAAATTTTGTCCTGCATTTTTTTTTAGTTGTAATCTCTGTCCTGCCAAAAGTGTCTTATCCTGCCTTTTTTTTTTACTCAAAACTCCTGTCCTGCTAATTTTTTTCAAATTTCATCCTACCCCCCCCCCCCCCCCCCCCCCCCATAAAAATCAAATGGTAGCTCCCTTACATCAATACCAAGTTCTCTAATTGATAAAACAAAACAGAATAAACAAATGATAACTTGTGATGAGGTTCCTGACTTGAAACAGACACATATGGACATGAAACACGTTTTTTTTTTCTACAACTCAACCATCGTACTCTGAGCAGACGATCAAAAGATATATAAAGGTCACCTCTATTTAGAATTTAAGTGAAAACCTAACTCTTATAATTGTCCCGCTGTAGTAGTACAATGTACCTATATGCATATAGAACCTTAATTCAGAGTTCCCTCTTCATATAAGGTCATTTTATCGGAACCGAGGGTGTCCTTTATAGATAGGTTTGACAGTATAAAAAAGATGCGATACTAACCAACGTATATAAAACGAACTTATCATTTTAATTCAAATACAAATAAAACTATTGAAAAATTGCCTTAAATTTCTACAAAAATAAATATTTTTAAATATTTTGTTAACATTCAAATGTTCCTTAGTTTCGAAAACTAACAGATTTATATTTTATATAGAAAATAGTTGTTGACCACGATTTTCCAGAAATATTGCAAAAGATACAAGAACATCAAGAACTTAAAGTTACATATGAGAAAGCTTTGCCTCTACGTGTAAGACCCGATAAACTCCGAATGGAGGTTCAAGGACCTGCAGTGTTCAACATGGATCCTTTGAAATTATTGTATTTGCTGAAGGAAAAGAACCGAGCTCAGGATTTCTTCAATAAAATAAACAAAGACAATAATGACGTTTTGACTATTGACGAAATACAGACACTTTTCACAGTGAGTTTGAATATAACTTTTTACTTCTAAGTAAATATATGTTTATTAAACAACACGAACAATGTACTCACAGGTTAAACGGTGCATAAAAGTTAGTCCCGAGGGTTAGGCGATGTTTCGTGTCTCCAATAATGTATGTAGTATATTAGTTTATGCAAAATAATAATAATAACTAACTTAAAGGTAAAACATATCTACTAGCTCCTAGCAATAGTACTATTACATGTTCTTATAAAATGAATATAAGAAATATTATTAATGCATGTAACAAACACCGCGAGAATACCCTTATCAATAAACAGAATCTGGTCCACGTCCATCATTTGAATTTTGTATATTCCAAAAGCATATTGAATATTAAGGAAAGAACTAATCCACTTCATTGAATAGCACATGGTATAAATTATACTTCTATGCATGATCACACCATGTGTGCTAATAAAATCCAATCTAATGATATGTAGTCTATTATCGCTATTTTACGAAATTTTTCTTTGATCTTGCTGACTGATAATTTCCTTTCTCAGCGGAGTCGAGTGATATAAACAATTATCGCTAGAAACTAATTAAGGGAACACGTGCCGTTGTTAATGAATTAACAACGTTGTCATAGGTAAAATAGCGATAAACTGATTATCATTGGTCATCTCAACTCGATTGCTTTTCTCACTTTCGCCGTACCGGCTCAAGCGAGAAAATCAATCTCGTTGAGATAACCAACGATAATCTATAAGTATACCAAAGCAGATTATACATATTACAGGATATGGGCGTGTCCGTAACCAGAAGTGTAATCGAGAAAATAATGGACTTCATGGATACAGATAACAGCGGCGCCATTGATTTAGGGTAATATACATAATTACATGCTTACGTCACAGCTAAAGATCGACCAATCAGATAATTCGATTGTGTTTATCTATTTAAATAACAGAGTTGAAGCTTGGAAAGCATGGGATCCTGGTTCCGGTTGCTCGACTGACGCGAAGATGAAGTTAGGCCAGGATGCCAGGCTAAAGCTGGGACAAATCACAGGGACTTCGTTAGCAGATCAAAAAAATTGTTGATAAATGTTTTTCAAATCTTTTTTCGTATTTCCTGTAGGATTTTTCATTATACGGATATGGATAGTAAACTGCACATTGCTAGAAAACAAAGAAATATTGATGCCAACGTTATAAACGTTAATAATGTAATACAAATAGACAGGAAATACGAAAAAAGATTTGAAAAAAACATTGATAAGCAAAATTTTTTTCTGCTAACCGAGTCCCTGTTGGACAAATCATATATACATGTATGCAATACAAATTTAAAAATCGGTTTACTTTTTATTGAATCGCTTAAATTTTACTTGAGATCGGTTTTGCAAATCTAATGCCGGATCATATTAGATTTGAATATACAATATCTTTGCAACATCTTTTATTCTAAATTTGATTTTAAAAATGATAATTCCTATACAGTTTGAGGTAAAACCCTGAGAGTACCACTTCCTCAAAATTTGAGCGCTAGGATGTTCGTAAATATGTATAAGACACTGCATATTCTTGTTTTTAAATGAAAAGGTTTATTTTCGATTTTAAGATTTATATGGTGACCTCGGAATGTTTGAGGAGGTAAAATACACATGCGCAATACATGTACTTCAAGAAAAAATCTCAAAAATATAAGAGGCTTATATTTTATTACGCGAATAGCGTGTTTCATCTATACAATACTAGTCGATCACGCCCGAATCAAAACAGTAACATGGTCAAATCAGAACCAAGTCGAAGAGTGTTGAAAGAAAGGTTGTACCATTTTAGGCCTGGCTTAGGAAATAGAAAACCTTTAATGATTGTATCAATGTTGTTTCCTGCCAGCACAGGGCTAGGGATACCTAAGAGATTGTCAACTATCACTTCCAAACAAACCGAGTGCTCAATGTCCCAATGTTTTAAATTAACTTGGAATTCTTAATATGACTGTATTAGTATATTCTACTTTTTTGTTTAAATGTGTTTGTTCAACTTGTTGCCTTTCTACGTTCAATTCTGTCAAAGCTTGTTTAAATTCTAAATTTAATTAATGCAATGCTTAAATAGAAGTCTTGGTAACTATGGCTGGGGATGGAATAGGAGGGTTCGTTTCCGTTAAACAGTAATATTGATTGATTGGCTGTTACGTTATACTTTCTTAAGGATGTTCGCTCCTCTTGTTTTTGATTTTTTGTCAGATATTTGGAATCCTCTTGTTTTATCCATGTAGTGCCTTTAAAAATTTTGCACGCTAACCCCTACTTTTCTTTTCATAATTTTATAACATGTAACTTAAAAAGTCATATTTGAAAATCTTATAAAACTCTTGTTATTTTTTCATTGTTTATGAAAGAAAAAAGGTGCCAATGTTAAATATGTGAAAAATCTAAAGAGAATCATTTCCTATCAAATTTTCAATGGCTTATATCTTGAAAACAAGCACACGGACCCTTAATTTTTTCTGCTTTTTTAGTTCCTTCATTTATATACTATCAATTTATAACGTTCTTTTAAAATGCTTGTTATTTTGAAACAGAGTAGCGAACATCCGATCCTTAACACCCAGTGGCAATTATAACATGTTTTTAGATCAATAAAATGACAGCACACATAATACCATTAAAACCAAGAGGATATCCAAAATGTATGTAATGATTAAATTGAGTCATTAGCGTTTTTTAAACCACTACCATCTCAGGCCCCATGATATGGAGGTGTAAATTTATATGACAAGACCAATCATATTTAAATTGATTAAATTTGATTTTTTTGTGTTGTGTGTTTTGTAGTCGTATTGAATGTCTTTTGTCTACAGTTTTTTTTTTAAATATTATCTCGTCTGTCTGACTTTGTTTGATTAATTATTTTTATTGTCCTTTTCGCTTCCTCTGTTATAACAACAAAAAAAAAAAAAAAAAAAAACCTGCTTAGGATCGAGTTTTGTGTTTTAAATATATTTTGTTAAACATTTGTTTCATATGTACTTATTTCAGAGAATTCTTGGAAGGAGACAGAAAAATAAGAAAAATGTCCCGAGATTTCGCTCGTTCTTCTCGCCAACAGATTAAACAGGAATACAACAAATACTCAAGGTCATTCACTAGAGGACACATCGATCCTATGACATTTCAGTTGAAGATACAAGAACCAAAACAACTACTTCCGCCAATTAAGTCAAGAGAGCCATCTATTTCTCCAGTAATGCGTTAACACGGATCAAACCAATCGTCAAGTGTCTCAGTTTCAAACACTAGATAATAAGACCAAAGCATCACCACGCAACTCTACTATGCTCGTCGGATTAAACATGTATAAGGTGTTGAAAATGAAATCATGGATGCCACAAGACTTCTGTCTTTAAAACGGCTGACCCACAATTTTCTTGTCATAGTCAACACTTACATAAAAGGAAAAACAAGAGTGCACACGCTGAAATGTCTCGCCTTCTTTACTAACCATTGATTTTATGTTGATAGTCCTATATACAAAGCAGGCTTTACTACAAGTAACACATAAACTTAACATGATCCAAGAAAATGAGGTCAAGGTCAGATAAACCAAACGAGAAATACATGTACACCTTACAATCATTCAATAAACCAAACATAGTTGACCTATTGCTTATTGTTTATAAGAAACAGTCTTAAACAAGAAAACTTAACATTGACCAATGAACCATGAAAATGAGGTTAAGGTCAGATGAACCATGCCAGACAGACATGTACACCTTACAATCAATTTAGGCATTACATATAGTTGACCTATTGCTTATAGTATCTAAGAAACAAACTTAACCATGAAAACTTAACATTGACCAATGAACCATGAAAATGAGGTCAAGGTCAGATGATACCTGCCAGACAGACATATACACCTTACAATCCTTCCATACATCAAATATAGTTGATCTATTGCTTATAGTTGACGAAAAACAGACCAAAACACAAAAACTTAACACTGAGAAATGAACCATGAAAATGAGGTCAAGGTCAAATAAAACCTGTGAGACTGACATGTACATCATAAAATATTTCCATACGCCATTTATAGTTGACCTATTGCATATAGTATTAGAAAATAAATGTGGATAGTGCATATCATGGAGTTATAAAGGGACATAACTGAAGAATGGTAAAAGTGACGCTACCCAAATTTGAACTTGATCTGAGTTTTGTGGTGATAAGCATTGTGTGTAAGTCTCATATAACATTTGGTTGAGGCTAACTTAAGTAGAGAACAGAAACTAAAAATTCAGCAATTTTTCTATTTGTAAACACGCATAACTCTAGAACGGTTGTGTATAAGTTTTATAACATTTGGTTGAGACAAACTAAAGTTAGAGAACGGAAACGAAAAATTCAGCAATTTTTATGTTTATAAAGGGACATTTAAGAATGGTAAAAGTATTGCCACCAAATTTCGTACTTAATGTGTATTATGTAGTAATAAGCATTGTGTATAAGTTTCATAACATTTGGTTGAGGCAAACTAAAGTTAGAAAACAGAAACAAAAAATTTGTACTTGATCTTAGTTTTGCGGTATTGAATATTGTGTATAGGTTTCATAATGTTTGGTTGGGGCAAACTTAAGTTACAGAATGGAAACTAAAAATTTTGCAATCTTTCAATTTATAAAGGGGCATAACTCAATAATGATTAAAGTGACACTACCCAAATTCAACTTGATCTGTGTTTTATTAGTGTAAGTCAAAATTAAACATTGCATTGTATAAAGCATTGATTGTAGTTGATTCAACTATAATCATGGACAAAGGAAGATAACTCCAATTTAAAAAATTACTTGATATTTAGAAGAAAATAAAAATTTTGCATTTTTTCCATTTCTAAAGGGACATAACTCTAGAATGGTTAAAGTGACACCACCAAAATTCAAAACTGATCTGTGTTTTGTGGTAATAAGTATTGTGTATAAGTTTCATAACATTTGGTTGGGGCAAACTAAAATAAGAGAACGGAAACGAAAAATTCAGCAATTTTTCCATTTGTAAAGGGGCATAACTCTAGAACGTGAAAGTGACGCCACCAAAATTCCTTCTTGATCTGTGTTTTGTGGTAATAAGCATTGTGTATAAGTTTCATAACATTTGGTTGAGGCAAACTAAAGTTAGAGAACGGAAATGATAAATTCAGCAATTTTCCATTTGTAATGGGGCATAACTCTAGAACGGTAAAAGTGACGCCACATTTTATAAGCGCTGGTGTCAAATCGGTAACTTGTAATGCATGCAGTGGTAGTCGTTGGTTGCTGACTATCTTTATTTTTTCGTTTATTGTTTTGTACATACATCAGGTCGTTGGTTTTCTCATTTGAATTGTTTACATTTGCCATGTTCTAACTTACTATACTGTATCGGTTTAGTCTATTGTTGGAGGCCGTACAGTTACCTCTAGTTGCATGCTTACATCTATGTCATTTGGTCACTGGTGGATACATGTAGCTGGCTTATGAAAAAATAATCAGGGACAAAGGAAGATAACTCCAATTTTAAAAATTACTTGATATTAAGACGTGTTAGAAGAAAATAAAAATTTTGCAATTTTTCCATTTCTATAGGGGCATAACTCTAGAACGGTTAAAGTGACACCACCAAAATTCACCCTTGATCTGTTTTTGTGGTAATAAGCATTGTATATAAGTTTCATAACATTTGGTTGAGGCAAACTTATGTTAGAGAACGGAAACTTAAATTTTTGCAATTTTTCCATTTATAAAGGGGCATAACTCTAGAACGGTTTAAGTGACGCCACCAAAATTCAAACTTGATCTGTGTTTTGTGGAAATAAGCATTGTGTATAAGTTTCATAACATTTGGATGAGGCAAACTCAAGTTAGAGAACGGAAACCAACTTTGGGACGTACGTACGTACAGACGGACAAAGGTAAAACTTAATGCCCCCACCACTACGGCGGGGGCATAAAAAACCATTTTGCAATCATACCATATCTGAATTTTTATATCAAACAATGAACCATGAATATGAGGTCAAGGTTAGATCAGGTGTGGATCCAGCTATTTTTAAAAGGGATGTTCCAACCCAGGATAAAGGGGGGTTCCAACCAAACATGTATATCCCTATTTAAAAGCATTGATCGTCAAAAAAGGGGGATTCCGACCCAGTAATTTTACATGGGTTATACACATGATATAGGGAAACTTAATTTGTCCTTACTGAGGAAACATTAAAAGTTAGATTTGATTACAATTAAATGAAATGATTGCTCTTCATAAATACTTCCAAAATATCAAATGAAAATAGGGTGTAACAAGCCAAATTTTCTTTAAAAAAAAAACAAAACCCAAATTGTCCTATCAATTTCTATATAATTACAATCTGCCCTTGATTTTACAATGATTTATTTGGACAAAATATTCAAAAACAACTTACTTAGTATTGATTATTTGATAGTTTAATCTTTGAATTTCAAGCTTTAGATGTTTTAATGTAAATTGAATGATGCCTGGATAAATGTTTTTAAACCAAAAATGTATTTCAGCAAGAAGGATTCTCAGAAAAAGACATCCGATCTATCTTAAACACGTAAAATAAAACAAAATGAAATGTACTAGCTTATCCTGATGTTCTTTCAATGGTCAAAGGATGGAGAGTAATAATATATATATATACTAAATAAATACAATGTAAATCAATTTATTTTGATTCTACATGCATAACATGGTCATGGTGGTAATACAATAGACTTATAAATGTAATTATATATAACTTCAAAAACAAAACATCTGAAAAAATAGGAGACAACTCTGTGTTTTTTTTAAATTTTTTACATATCTTCAAAACAAAAAAAAGTTAGTATCTCACCTCCCATCCCCTTCTCCAAAAAGTTTTGGGAACAGCCCTCAGACTTATCAGACAGATAAAATCCCTGGATTACCATTACATGAGCAATGTAAATATTTTGAATTTCAATTGAAAATATTTAAGAGTTGCCAAAATTTATAAATACTTTGCAAAAAATCTATTTCGTAAATGAAGCTCATCTTTGTACATTATATGTTATCAAACATGTCAAAATACATCCACTTGACCTTTTAACAATAGTAACCATTACTATTTGACTGCTCAAAATGAAATCAAGCCACCAAGTTTTCATTTGTTGGGGCTATTGCACATGTATTCTAAACTGAAAATAATGAATTTATAAACGATTCATTCTGATTCCAAAGTTTTCCTTATCTGAATTAATAGGAATTTTCTCTTCAACTGCCCCACTTTTAGTCCAGCCAGTTTCATCTTGAGATAAATATTCTCCTTTTGGCAAGTTTCTAGTGACATCATTTCTGTAATTTTCTAGAAAACTGCCAACTTTGGTGAAAAATTTTGCTTTACAATTTTTCATTGAATCCGTGATTCCCGTACAGAAGATATCATAATTCAAGGTCAGCCAAAGAAATACTATAGTATCATAACATATTGATTTATATCCGAACAAATCCAATTCAGTTGTTCCAAGGAGCACATCTTCTTCGCTATCATAAAAATAAATGACGATCTTTTTTTTTGAGATCCCTATAGTAGGAACCAAACAATGTTTTAGATCATCTCCATATTCCTTGCGCTTGAGAAATGAGAAAACGATTGTTTGAGCTAAAACCTGTTCCTGATGATTAGATGTCTTTGTGTCTGTAGAAGACTCTGCTAAAGAAACAGCTGATGAACCAACTTTTAAATTATCATCTTCGGCACCAGCCAAATGCACAGAAACATTGTTAATCAATATATCAGATCTACCATACCAACCATCAATCCAACCTATGAAATAAAATAAAAATTCAGATCAATTAATATATCTATATAATGGTGATACCCAATCAAACATGTCTGTTTTTTTACAATTGTTAAATTTTAAAAAGTGTAGCTGGCTGCAAATGACATTAGTCATGTTCCTTTAATTTTATTTGGCAAATGTTTAGAATGTTTTTCTTCCCCATACATGTACACATATTAAATTTTAAGTTGAAGGCAACACAGGGTGTAGCTATATAGCCAATAGTTTTGAATCCTTTAATCAAAGTGCTTGTGAGCACTGGATGGAAATGGTTGCTTTAATTTTGCAGTGGAAACTAAAACTAAAATTTGCAATGAATTAAGCTTTTAAACATGTTAAAGGCAATACTATGAATTGTCTAGTTTCAACTACAATTATGTAAAAGAGAGATAACTTTGAATTCGAATATTACTTGAATAATGACATTGATATTGATTCATGCACCATGCCAGTCTGCATCAAAATCTTTTCCAACTTCTTCCAACGAAATTACATCTGACAGATTCAAAATGATGACAAAAGTGCATGCGACCTTCAGTCATCTGGTGAGCTAAAATGCACTACAAACAAGCATACATGTACATGATATACACAGTGTGGCAGCATATAAATAGGGTTTCCACATTAAAACTAGAGGTTCTTACAAGCCTGTGTAGCTCACCTGCATTTTCAACAATAGCCATTTTTGGTAAAAATCACCACAAAAGGGCAATAACTCTATAAAGATTTAACTGATAATTTCAGTCATGTTGACATCTTTGTAGATCTTGTCCTGCTGGTTATTTTTGCTTTTTAAGGCTTCTATCAACCTTTGTATCTATTACAATTTTCAAGATAAAAGGCAAAAACTCCAAAAAAGGTGAAAAAATCTTTAAAGGGAAATAAATCCAATAACAAGCCAACTAAAGATTTCAGCCATGATGTCTTATTTGTAGATCTTTTCTTGCTGATCATTTTTGCTGTATAAAGTTTCTACAGGTCTATCTATTTTAGTTTACAAAATAAAAATCAAAAATGCAAAAAATAGAATAAAATGTCATTACAGGGCAATAACTTCAATAAGGAGTCAATTGATGATCACTTATTTGCAGATCTTGCTTTTTGATCATTTTGGCTTCTTAAAATTTCTTTCTATCTAAATTATATAGTTTTTAACAAACAATGTTTTTAAAGATATAAGGCAAGTTTTTTTACACGCAAAATATTGTTAAAAATTAAAAGAGCAATAACTCCAATAAGGAGTAGTCATATGATTTCAGTCATATTTAAATTATTTTTAGATCTTGTTTTGCAAATCATTTTTCCTAATTCAAATTTCTCTGTATGTATTATACATGTACATGTAGTTTTCAAAATAATAGACAAAACTTGCATTTTACAACTATGTTCTAGTTTAAGTCATGTTGGCAATCTTGGTTGACAGGGGGGAAGGGGGGGGGGTTGGACTAATTTTGTAAACTAGTTCCCCAATAGTGATTGTGGCCAAGTTTTATTAAATTTAAGCCAGTATTTTCAGAGGAGAAGATTTTTGTAAAAGTTTACAGACAACAACTACAATGGACACCAAGTGATGAGAAAAGCTCACTAGGTGTTTTGGACAGGTGACCTAAAAAGGGAAGATATTGCTATATTTTTGCCTTGGATAAATTAGGAGATTTGTTTGATGAAGATTCACTACCAAATGGGCAATGAAAACTTAAGGAAGGCCTTCTGTAGCATCAAAGATATGACAGGTACATGTAGGAGAATCGATAAATTCAAGTTTTTTGTTGACCATAAGCTTTATTATAAATCTTACCAAATGAATTATCATCAAAATCTACATCTACACTTTCACCATTTTTGCATGGACAACTTGGTTGGAATCTTAGATTATCATATGAATCATCGATTGTGTAACTTCCATCTACGGTCAGAGGTGATAACAAATGCTGTGCTACTATAACTGCCCACTCTGCTTCATCACATGTTTCACTTTCCACTAATGCAATATCATGATCTACAAAAAAAATTACACGCAATACATGTATATACATATATTCATATAAATTTTCAAATTTTATTTTTATCTACTGTAAATTTCAGAAATTTTGCGATGTTTCAATTAATACAAAAATTGCAACTTGGATTTCGAATCTTTTTTATTCTACCTTTAGGTCAAAAATTTTAAAAAGTCCTAAACATGTCGAGGTGTTTGGGTACCTGTAAAGTGTGCAATGAAATAAAAATGGAAGGAAAAATAGACCAAAATAAAATACAAAATTAAACAAAAAGAAAATCAAATACACCTACATGTATTTTTTTTAATTAAAACTGAACAGTTGATTTTAAAAGTTCAATGGGCTGCCAACATGGCCAATATCATCTGATTTTACAAAAGACTTTTTACTTTTCAACAGATTTTTAAAGTTTACCATTGTTTACTCTGATGTTGTAGTTTAACCATATTACATGATATTAGGGTCAAGGTTTTGCACAAAGTAACATGACTGATCTGCCACATTCTGTATGTGCCTGTCCCAAGTCAGGAGTCTTGTAATTTAATGTTTTTTGCCATACATGCATGTATATTCTTTTTTTAATTGTTTTGTACATAAATTAGGTTGTTAATTAGTTTTCTTGTTAGAACTGTTAAATTACATTTGTCATTTTGGAGTCTTTCATTGCTTGATATCCGGTATTTGTTTTGCTCATTGTTCAAAATTAGCCTTGATAAATGAAAATTTATTAAATTATAACGATCTTTAACCATGCAAAGGATATATTTCTTGGCACAATGAAGCCAATTTACACTGTAAGTACCAAACCACTTTGACATTTTGTTTTCTTAACAATTATTTGATCATTATTACTTGATTATTGAAATTTATTAAATAAACTAGCTATCATTACAAAGTTGCTTTATATATAATAACATATATAGTATATGCCAAAACACATAATTAACAGCACCTGGTGATGTTTCATAGCCTGACTGGTTTCGGTCCATAAGGGACCTTCATCAGAGGCAGAATGGTGGATTAATGTTTGCTCCCGATTTATATATATACAGTAACCATGGTAACCGGCGGATCAGAGTTAACCAGCGGTTCAATTAACCGGTGGTTCAGAGAACTTTAACCGGCAGTTCAGTTCACAGAGGGATTATCATTGGTTACAGTAAACTTTATTAGGCTAATGTATCTGTTATAGTAAACATTTTGAAAATGTTACGGTAAACATTTTGGCATGTTACGGTGAACATTTTGACATGTTACGGTAAACATTTTGGCATGTTACGGTGAACATTTTGACATGTTACGGTAAACATTTTGGCATGTTACGGGAAACATTTTGACATGTTACAGAAATCATTTTACAGGATACCGTCAACATTTAACCTGATAATATAACCCTTTTTGGGCTTTAGCATTGGGTATAAGGGTGTTTTAATTTAAATTGAAGTACATGGTAGTCATTTAGTCTTGATCTTTGGCTTATGATACACCTAAATATCAAGTCTTGAGAAAGAATTTCATGGTAGTCATGCAGTCTTGATCTTTGGCTAATGATACACCTAAATATCAAGTCAAATAATTGGGGGTACCATGATTTTCCGAGGATAGCAAGAACTAATTAATATCCCAAGGACCAATTGATTTGTCCCGAAAACTTGAGTTCACATGGTGATTATAGTGATATACTACTCAAAACAATATTAAAGAATATAATTTTAAGATAATACTCGTTTTTACTCAATAAAAGTGCAATTTAACTTCAGGACGTCGATAAGCATGTCTTGTACATGTATGCTAATTCCTTGTTGAAAACAATATGGCGGACATAATTATTCAAAAGGTAAAAAACTTTAAAAAAGAAATAAAAGTATTAAAAGTACTGAAAGAATAGATTCTTTAAACAAGAGTGCACACGCTGAAATGTCTCGCCTTCTTTACTAATCATTGATATTATGTTGATAGTCCTAAATATAAAGCTTTATTACAACTGTCACATAAACTTAACATTAACCAAGAAAACTAAACATTGACCAATGAACCATGAAAATGAGGTCAAGGTCAGATAAACCATGCCAGGCAGACATGTACAGTTAACAATTCTTCCATATAACAAATATAGTTGACCTATTGCTTATAGTTTAAGAAAAACAGACCAATACACAAAAACTTAACACTTAGCAAAGAACCGTGAAAATGAGGTCAAGGTCATATAGAACCTGCGCGACTGACATATAGATCATAAAATATTTCCATACACCAAATATAGTTGACCTATTGCATATAGTATAAGAAAAAAAGACCAAAACTCAAAAACTTAACTTTGACCACTGTACCATGAAAACGAGGTCAAGGTCAGATTACACCTGCCAGCTAGACATGTACACCTTACAATCATTCCATACACCAAATATAGTAGACCTATTGCATACAGTTTAAGAAAAACAGACCAAAACACAAAAATTTACTATAACCACTGAACCATGAAAATGAGGTCAAGGTCAGATAACACCTGCCAGTTGGACATGTACACCTTACAGTCCTTCAATACACCGAATATACTAGACCTATTGCTTATAGTATCTGAGATATGGACTTGACCACCAAAACTTAACCTTGTTCACTGATCCATGAAATAAGGTCGAGGTCAAGTGAAAACTGTCTGACGGGCATGAGGACCTTGCAAGGTAGGCACATACCAAATATAGTTATCCTACTACTTATAATAAGAGAGAATTTAACATTACAAAAAATGTTAACTTTTTTTTCAAGTAGTCACTGAACCATGAAAATGAGGTCAAGGACATTGGACATGTGACTGACGGAAACTTCGTAACATGAGGCATCCATATACAAAGTATGAAGCATCCAGGTCTTCCACCTTCTAAAATATAAAGCTTTTAAGAAGTTAGCTAACGCCGCCGCCGGTTCACTATCCCTATGTCGAGCTTTCTGCGACAAAAGTCGCAGGCTCAACAAAAATCACTTTTTTAAGTATTAATATTTTAATTACCCCCACTAATTTCAACACCCCCGAACAGTGAAATTTTGATCGCAAACAGTAAAATTTTATTACATAATCTGTAAGATGAAACCTGAATTTTACAGGAAAATTACTCACTGCTGAGAATAAATAAAATGCTCCGCAGGGCGCAGCTTGATACGACCGCAGAGGTCGAACCCTGAACAGTTGGGGCAAGTATGGACACAACATTCAAGCTTGATACAGCTCTGAATTTGGATTGTGATTAAATATTTGACACAGCATAGGTTTCTGACACAGAATGAATGTGGTCTAAGAACTAAAAAATTTTAAATTGGACATTCACCTATTATGGTCCAATATCCAAAATCTAAATACATGGTTAGATTCAGCATATCAAAGAACCCCAAGAATTCAATTTTTGATGAAATCAAACAAAGTTTAATTTTGGACCCTTTTGACCTCAATGTGGACAAAGTTGATAACGGGGCCCAAAAATCTAAATACATGGTTAGATTCAGCATATCAAAGAACCCCATATATTCAATTTTTGTTGAAATCAAACAAAGTTTAATTTTGGACCCCGATTTGGACCAACTTGAAAACTGGGCCCATAATCAAAAATCTAAATACATGTTTAGATTCAGCATATCAAAGAACACTAAAAATTCAATTTTTGTTAAAATCAAACTAAGTTTAATTTTGGACCCTTTGGACCTTAATGTAGACCAATTTGAAAATGGAACCAAAAATTAAGAATCTAAATACACAGTTAGATTCGGCATATCAAAGAACCCCAAGAATTCAATTTTTGATGAAATCAAACAAAGTTTAATTTTGGACCCTTTTGACCTCAATGTGGACAAAGTTGATAACGGGGCCCAAAAATCTAAATACATGGTTAGATTCAGCATATCAAAGAACCCCATATATTCAATTTTTGTTGAAATCAAACAAAGTTTAATTTTGGACCCCGATTTGGACCAACTTGAAAACTGGGCCCATAATCAAAAATCTAAATACATGTTTAGATTCAGCATATCAAAGAACACTAAAAATTCAATTTTTGTTAAAATCAAACTAAGTTTAATTTTGGACCCTTTGGACCTTAATGTAGACCAATTTGAAAACAGAACCAAAAATTAAGAATCTAAATACACGGTTAGATTCTGCATATCAAAGAACCCCAATAATTCAATTTTTGATGAAATCAAACAAAGTTAAATTTTGGACCCTTTGGACCTCAATGTGGACCAATTTAAAAACGGGGCCCAAAATCCAAAAACTTAATACACGGTTATATTCAGCATATTAAAGAACCCCAAGAATTCAAGAATAAAACCCCATTGAAATTGATCAAGAAATAAGCAATTTATAAGAAGTATCTTCTTTAGCACAATACTGTGCAATTGAATATTTCTTGCTATTGCGCAATACTGTACAATTGACAATTTCTTGCTATTGCGCAATATTGTGCTATTGGATATTTCTTGCTATTGCGCAATACTGTGCAATTGAAGATTTCTTGCTATTGTGCAATACTGTGCAATTGAAGATTTCTTGCTATTGTGCAATACTGTGCAATTGAAAATTTCTTGCTATTGCACAATACTTATTATATAAAAATTTACACATCCTGTTTGGTGTGTATCTCCTACCATATCATTATTATTTGTTTTTAAATATAAATCAGAAATAACCAACTTAAAATGGAAAATTTAAAAAAAAAAAAAAAGGAAAAAAAGAAAAAAAAAAAAATCCCCCCCCCAAATTTTTTGAACCCCCTTATGATTCATCAACCCCAAACTCAATCCCAGCCTTCCCTTTGTGGTATGGTACCTTGCAGTACAATTTCAGAGAGATCCATACACTTGAACACAAGTTATTGTCTTGAAACTAGAAAAATGCTTATTTTTGGCCCCTTTTTGGCCCCCAATTCCTAAACGTTTCAGGCAATTACCCCCGAACTCAATTCCAGCTTTCCCTTTGTGATATGAAACCTTGTAGTACAATTTCAGAAATATCCAAACACTTACACACAAGTTATTGTCATGAAACTAGAAAAATGCTTGTTTTTTGCCCCCTAATTCCTAAAATTTTGAGGCAATTACCCCCAAAATCAATTACAGCCTTCCCTTTGTGATATGGAACCTTGTGATACAATGTCTGAGAGATCCATACACTTACACACAAGTTATTGTTCATTATAGCAATTTTTTCAACAAATATAGAATTTACAGCTAAATGATTGTATCATAGGCACAAACCTTGCTATTTAAAAGAAGAAAAAGGTTCATTTTTTCCAATTTTACTAATAATAAGATATAATCTAAACCTATATGTTTAAAATTTTGGTAAAACTACAAAATCACAATTTGTGACAAAATTTTGAATTTGCTACTTAAATAAGTGATTTTTAAAATTGAATGCAAGTTGAATCTTATTTCAACTTTCATTTTTGTTTATATATCTATTGAAAAAAAGTGTTTTTCTCATAATGCAAGACCTACAAATGTACATTTGTACAACATAACAACTTTCATGACTTTACAACATAGTTGTTTTTTAATTCTTCATGTATTTCATCATGTTCATATTCTATCTCCAAAGAAACATTGATAAGATAAATGGCTTATAAACATGATAAAAGCATACATGCATACATGTATATTTTTTGATACTGTAAATTTACATGTATCCCATGTCTATTGATATTCCTAAAAATAGGCATACATTGTAGTGTATAATATTTTAATTTTTATCAACAGGTATATGTAGGAGATGCCTTGCAACAGATTTGAAAGAAGAGTTTAGAGGTACATTTATGATATTAATTAAAGATGTAACAATGAATAGAGATTGCTAAATGGACAGCAAATAAGATTTTATTATCATTTGGATGAATTTTGTAACAGCACGATAAACAATGATCACAAAGAATCAATAAATAAGAAAAAAAAAACTATTAAAAGATCTGGTAAAAAAACAAATTCACTGTGGTAAACATGGTAAACACACACACACCACTCAAATTCTTATTTTATTGTCAATTAATGAACATAAATAAAAAAAAATTTAACTACAACAATGTACTTGTCCTCTTTTCTGGCGATAAGCCAGAAAAAAACTGGTTATCCTGTTAGACTAACATATTCTCAAGATGGAGACAATTTTCCATTTTCATAATTTTTGAAGAAAAAATAATAACATTTATCAAAATCTGTTTTAAATAGTCTCAATAACTGACTAAGTGACCTTACAATCATTCAATACACTAAATATAGTTGACCTATTGCTTATAGTTTCTATAAACAGTCACTGAGTCAGGGGTACTACTTGTACAAGTAATTTTTATTTGAGTTTTCGGGACAAATCAATTGGTCCTTGGGATATTAATTAGTTCTTGCTATCCTCAGGAAATTGTGGTACCCAATAATTGGTGCCAGATATGATGTTTGGGGACTGAACGACCAGATACCTATGCCTATGGTTTCCCCTTACCATGCTTACAATCCTTATCCGCGATTAAATAATTCAACAATTTTTTCAAAGCTTCCATTTGTTTTCCATCTTCTGGAACCTGCGGATGTGGATCAAGGAGTTTCTTTAAAATAAAAATTCCATTCCGAAAAATTGACCCAGCTGCATAAATGCGGGCGAGGGGTTTTTCGTCTGTCCTGTATTTTTCATACATTTGTACCTCACAAGATGCACGCGTGAACTCCTCACTTAGAAGGGCATTCGTCTGCAGTATTTCTAGTGTACGAAACACCAAATCTGACGATCCTCCACACAACGATATGTATGCCTCTTCCAATAAATCTTTTTCAATTTCCTTTTTTAAAAACTCTTTAAAGAATGACCCACAAGTGTCTGTCTTAAGCCGTTTTGCACTCGTGTGCGCTCCTTCTCCCGACATTTTTAAATATCAGAGCGAACAATCGTACGATTTATTCAGTTACACCAAGGATTTGCCAAGTACACATAAACTTGAAGTTGAGGGATTACTAGTCAAACTCGTTAGGCTCCTCTTTGGTTATTAGGTTCACCAATCTACTTCCGGTCTAAATAGTGGTTTCGTCCCAATCATCCCTTCGTACCCTTAGTGTTTTCACGCTGCCATGGTTCTTCCACAGTAAGAAGGTAAATTATAATTCTTGTTTGGCATTGTTTTTTTTCTTTCAAAAAAGCAAGTCGTTTGTTGATGTGGTTCATATAGATTAGACCGTTGGTTTTCCTGTTTGAATTGTTTTACACTGTCTCAGTAGTAATTTAATTTGGAGTCCCTTTTTATAGCTTTCCGTTTGGTTTGAGCCAAGGCTCCGTGTTGAAAACCGTACTTTGACCTATAATGGTTTATTTTTTACACATTTTGCCTTGAATGGAGAGTTGTCTCATACAACATCTTCTTATTTCAATTTATCAGACACATACACATATACGTTTTATTCTCATTTTCACGTATGTATTGATAAACATTTAACAAATATTTATTCGCAAAATCGAAATCGATTACACTGGGCATCAAGTAAAAAAAGGAGATGTGGCGTAATTGCCAATGAGACAACTTTCCACCAATTAAAGTTCGAATGAAGTGAATGTAAGCAATTATAGGCAACTGTACGACCTTCAATAATGAGACAAACCCATACCGTATAGTCAGCTACAAAAGGCCCCGGCATGAAAAATATGAATCGGGGAAAACTAACGTCCTACTTTATTTAAAAAAAAATTGTGAAAAAACAAATATGATAGACACGAACCAACGACAACCACTGATCTACAACCTTAATTCTGACTTGGGGCCGGCAAATATGATATAGAATATGGCGGTGTTAACTTAAACTAGTGTGCTGGCGCCACCACCCCCTTTTACATGGGACAGCACTTGGTGTAATAGTACAACATAAGAATAAACTATAATAAAGAGATGCGCCTTGAGTGCATGGTACTGACGCGTGTACGTCGCTCTTTCAGTTTATCTTTCTCGTCTTTATTCCTTCAATGAATACATAAGAATAAGAATAAGAATCTATATTATTCCAATCAAGGGCCCTTGATGGGCAGCATGATATGTATACACATAAAACAATACATTAATTTGTGATCTGTAATAGAAAATCATTTTTTACATTGAAATGAAATATTAAGTTCAGATAGATGTTTTCATGATAGAGCTACATATATTTCTTCATTTTATATAATTCGTGTACATTCAATTCCAGGCAATACATATGATAAACTAGAAATACTCAAGTTGAGCACTGCTCAAAAGGACCCCCCTGAAAAAAACATGAACAAATTGACACTTGTTAGGATATTTCTCAAGTTTAACTAATTTTTTTATGGCCTCAATTTTGGAAAGACTATAAAGATCTCCCTAATTCTGATTTTATAATAATTCAGTGATGTCGTTAAAAGCCGGCAGCCGGCGATTTTCGCCGGTTATTGTCCTTTCCCCGCTGGCTATTTTTGCATGAGTAAAAAAAAATAGATAAAAACGATAATCAGATTATTAAAAAATAATTGTTCCATTGAAATTATCAGCTTTAACGATAAACAGAAGCTGCAAAGTTAGGAAATCCCCTTCCGTATAAAACTGTAACCGAATTGCTATTGATAAAATCGTATGCGCATGTCTCAATTAGGGTCCTACTAAAAAGCGCCCTGGAGCGCCCGGATGAAGAAAAAGCGCCCGGGGAAAAGAAAAAGCACCCGGGGAAAATATATAGATATTGTATTGGCATGAGACAACTTTGTGTCGATGAAATAAGTTATGCACATTGATTTTTTTTTAATTTAGACAAGCATTTTTCAAATTCAGATAATAGACATTTGTAATAAAGCACAAAAACAAGTATGAATGTTTCAATTTTAACAATAATTAATATATGAATACTATTTCGAATGACACATAATAATGGATCACAGTTTATGCTGAAGATTTATAAAATGTTATACATCAAAAGACATGTTTTTTCAAAAACGATATCAAAATGATAAAATGCAAAAACAACTTAAATTTCACAGATAAATATAGATCAAAGTCTGCTAATTCCAGCAGATGGTACCACGTATCACAATTGTCGCAGCAGATGCTTGCAATTTTACAATTTTTACGGCATATTCCACAAGGCCAGAATATCATATTTGCTTTAGCAGTGGGTTTAACTTTTCTTTTCTTAGTGGCAGGCATGTTGAAACCCTTCCATGATCTGCCACCGTCAATTCAAGTGTGTTTAAAAAAATACAAAATTTTGAAAAGTGTTCATCATGCAGTTGCGAATATATAGACCTCGGGCACTGATTTGTTTTAAATAACGAAATATACGTAATAGTTATACACCGAGGGATAGGTGTGTCTGGATAAGAAACCCCGTCGGCCGGAGGCCGGTTGGGTTTCTTATCCAGACACGCCGTAGCCCGAGGTGTATAACTAACTTGCACCCCATTCTAAACCCTATATTTGTTATCATTGATTTTTAAATGAAAAAAAAAAAACGATATCATATTTATTGACAATATAAAACCATGATTTATAAAAATATTTTTTTATATTACATTTAATATTTAGTAACCTTTCTTTGGTTATCTTCGTTCAAACTTTGACAAGTGAGTATATTTTACAAATTTCAAAGTTGTTTTGCATATTCCCGTTAAATCCTGTGCTAATATGGATCAGCAGGTCAAGGTTGAATGTTTCGTGTATTCTTATTACAAACAAAAACTACATCATGGTCCTGGTATACAGTTGTCAATATGGACGGGTATAAGACGGACGACATTTTGTGGCAAGCGTTGGATTTGGTAGAAGAGACTAAAGATAAAGGCAATATTATAACCCAAAGTACTTACCTGTATCAGTTTAATAAAGGTAATCATAACTTTATTTTATATCTTACGATTTTATCAAAAACAAAAGCCCCCCCCCCCTCTTCTCGAGAATAAACAAACATTCATATTCGAACATACTAAAGGATAGGTGTGTCTGCATTAAAAACCCTACTACCAGACACGCTCAACATACAATATTTAATATAGAGGAACTCCCTTTTTGGGGGCACTCAGGGGCTGATCCCGGGGGCTCCCAACTCAAGAGAAAAAGGGGGGGGGGGTCCAAGCATTCAAATGCATTGATCTTTTAAATAAAAGACGTGTCCAACCCGCGGAACCCGCAACCGCGGATCGGCCACTGGGTAACCGGGGAGGGGGGTGTCCGGGAGTTAGAATCCCCATTTTTTTTAAAGATCAATGCTTTAGAATAGAGACATATGACTGGGATAAAAAAAAAATACTTTCAAGCAAAAGAGTATTTAAAGGATTATTTTTGTATTCCATATAGATGCCTGTTGGAATTTCCTAAAATGTGTTTTTTTAATATCATGAAACAATTTGTAGTGAACACTATTAGTAATTTCTTATGTTCATGCTATTTAAAAAATAATCAATTTCTATTGTTACGAATAACAATGGACTTTGTTTGCGGGATGTAGAAGCAGGGGTTTCCAGAAACCCCGCTCGTCACACCCTGTGGTCAAAATCCATTGTTATTCGTTACAATAGATCTATTCAATTCACACATGTTTCAGAAATAGAAACTATGAAGTATAACAATAGAACTGGGGTGTAAGTTTTTATCGAGGACAATATCGTTCATGATTGTTCTATATACTTTTGTTTATATTTACTTACTTACTTATAAACAATTTTGAAATCTAAAATGTAAAAGTGCAACAACACTATCTACACACTTAGATGTAGCATCGTACATATCCCCATTTATATTAAGGACAAAACAAGCAATGATTATTTTTTTTTATTCAGGAAAACATTTATTGTTATAAATATTATCATTTTATTCTCCCGGGCGCTTCTTTTTCTTCCCGGGCGGTTTTTCTTTTCCCGGGCGCTCCCGAGCGCTTTTTAGTAGGACTGCTCAATTTTGTAAACATTGAACGTCATGCAATCATGGACATACGAAGTTTTTTTAGGAAACGGCAAGCCGGAGGGGACGGCGATCTTGCAGAAAACAGTTCTGCAAAGATCCAAAAGGGTAAGTTGAGGGGTAATGCAATCTTTAGGTACCAACGTTCATTGAAGCTTTCAATCAAGACTGGGAACATTTTTCATTTTGTAAAAAAAGGGGACCGGTTGTAAAAACAAAACCAACACTTTTTTTGCAGCATTAATATTTAGTATTGTTAATAAAAGAAATACTATTTTCAGTCAGAATAAATAAAAAAAGATAATTTTGTATCTTGTGTTCTGATAGCATTAAATTAGGGAGGTACCATTTGATTTTTATGGGGGGGGGGGGGGAGGGGGGATTTTGGTCATGCCTTTTTTTTCAAGGAAATTTGGGTCCTGCCTTTTTTTTTACAGTATATCCTGAATTTTTTGGCCATTGTCAAGATCCTGCTTTTTTATTTTCTCAGGTTTTCAGTCCTGTCTTTTTTAACCCCAATATTGAGGTCCTGCCTTTGTTTTAAATTCCATCCTATCCCCCACCCCCTAATCATCAATTGGTAGCTCCCATAATCTTGACATAATTAATCACAAATTTTAATCAGTTTGCAAAGACAGATTGTATGAGTTGAGTCAATGACCCACGACAGACTCATGATTTATAATTTAAATGGCACCTTTATAAATGTAGTTTGCCAAAACATCCTGTCTCTTTTTTCTTGCTGTTATTTCTTCAATCTAGGGTTACTTAACCAATTAAAAGTGCCTAAGTTCAGCTAGGAAGAGTGCTGCTAAATAATCAGTCATGATATCATAACATGTTAAGGATTTGCTTCTATGATTTTTCACAGCAAGTTTTACTATAAATTGACAATATACAGTATAAGCCATTTAAATTCCTTCAATAAAGTAAATTTCCAAAGTCTTGTTTTTGAATTTTATAAAAAATATTCAGGCTTAGATTGTGATAATTCAACTTCTTTTGTAGGTCCACCAACTGATAAACCAAGTGAACCAGAAGAATTTGACATAAATCAAAATGTTGTTACAAACAGTACCACTAGACAGAG